CTTCAGAGCATTGAAAAACCAATCTTCCTTCTTCTTCTTTGCATTCGAACGATTTTCAGGCATGAGTTGACTAAAGGATTGATGTTTGAAACAGTGGGTGTACTGTGCCCATCAATGTTCATATGCTAATGTACGAGGTAATTCAACAGCGGTTTATGGGAATGATTGATGGATTTTTTTTTCTCCACTTGAGGATTTAACTTTTGGGGTAAAGCCTCTTATTAGAGTGATTTTCAACAAATTTGATCTGGTCATTCAAGTTTTTTTTTTAATTGATCAGCTGCGTCATGACACCGTTTACAGAAGGAGCTCTGAATTAAATTCTATATCCCCTAGGACAATCAGTTTTCATCCCCCGCAATTCTTAATCTGTTTCGAGCTATTTTGCTAAATTATCAAACGGTTTCTCGTATCAAAGAGGTGACATACTTAGCAAATTAAGAGAATCTTTTGTCGCAATATTTCTCGAACGCTAAGTTAGGTCCTTTAATCTTGTTATTGGTCTTGAAATATAGCATATATGGAACATATATGCCACAATAAAAATGTCAATAATGTTTTGCATAGAAACGTTGTTAGTCGAGGGAAGAGGCCGAGAAATAGTACCCTTTAGTTGGCTTGGGATATGATGTTGACATCTGTTTTCTTTCGAATAACTTGCGTGAAGATTGGACAGATACTTAGTAATATTGAAATTGACTGACGTCAAAATATCTTTATATTACCCAGAAAACAAGCGATTGGAATATCAAAACTAAGTTAACTAACAGACAGTTCGAGTCAAAAGCTTAATGTATACATTACTGGCACTTCGAAGCACTCTCAACAGGTTTTACAGGTACACTTGTCCAAAAACATGTCGTTTCGAATTCTATTGGAGCAGCAAAATTACCAGACATCGACTCGCGAAGTTCAATACGAGGATTTACGAATCCCGTCGAAAATAAGCGTAATAACTGTGAATGCAGAATAGCATAAGTTGTTCAGCGAGAGCGACTCCAGACATAAAGCAAATTGGAGTCACGTGGGATAAAAAAAAAATTCACTACTCCACTCGTCTCGAGTAAATTATGGGATTACAAATAACTTGAAGCTATCTGGAGAGCAAAGTATTTACAGTGCAAGTGTTAAATCCCTTACATAATGATTGTTTCCCTGAAAACACTTTCTCTGTCCATCTAAAAGCCAACGTATCTTTGAGGAAGTAAAGACTTGATATATATATCTTGCATAATTACGCAACGGAAATCTTGTGACGAACCTCATCCTTTTGAAATATATTTCTTAACTTAAGATTTACGTCAGACATATCTTTACAAAGTGTGTTACGAATTTCATGAAAAACCACTCACAAATGATGTCTGTTCAAAGATTTGATCAATTTTAAGCACTAGGCTGCCCAAGTGCTTCCCATGCTTATCTATATTGGAAATACCTAACAACCACAACATGTACATACCCTGAATCAATCCAATGAATGAAACAAAGACGACAAAGTATTTGGTTGGCAACATCTCCTAGTTTTCACTTATCGCTGAGTTGTTTATGTTCTTGTCTGGTCAATGTATTCAAAGTTATTAAATCGGTGAGAAAGATATTAAAAATTAATTGACAATTAGACCTTATTGTCACGTCATTATATTGTAAAGAGTTGACCTTGCTCGCGGCACATGTCACAGTTGAAAGAAAGCAAACAAGAAAGAATTTCCTGATTAATTCCGCATTCGCTTTCATTAAGTAATTGCAAAAAAGCATGTGCTTTGAAAAATTGAAACTAAATTTGCGTGATTGAATGTACTTCGGAGATATCGAACGTAAAACGTAGGGGGCATCTCAAGATATTAAGTATAACAACTGAATTTATAAAGTAAATAGGCGACCGCAAAGAGTTTTTAAAACTAAAAACTCATAACGGTGGCCAACTTACATTATCAACCCAGTGTTTAAAGACAATTTATCTGGCCCAAATTAAACCTCCCCACTGAAACTCTCTTGTAATTAATATAGCTCCCATAGATATAGACTGGAAAATTAGGGAAAGTTTACAGTGGAAATAAAAAGCACTGCATACGGTTAAACAAAAACTTGAGAGAAGTTAAAGCAGCATAACTACGAACACCCCGCTGATGCTTATTCAGAAGCCCACTCTCCCTAGAACTGCCAGAGTCACGGTACTGTAGAGCGTTGAAGAAACATGATGTCTAAAGGAGGTTTTGCGGTGTTGTTTTCCATTGTTTTCCTAGTTCAATGTGGAGATAGCCGTCGGTTTCTTTATAAAGCTGGTGCATGTGCACCAAACAGTTGAACTGTGAAACATGGGGAAAGGTTTAAATATTTGTGCACGAAACGCAGAACGACGAAAACAAACTGGAGGCTTAGCTTGGTTTTATCGATTAAGTGGCAAATGTAAATAGTCTTTGAAGTTGCCGTTTCGAGTGTTAGTCCTTTTTTAGGGCGAATGAAGCGCTGACGCTCGAAACGTCAACTTTAGAGATCATTTTACTGTGACTAGTTTACATTATAATTGTTGTTGATAAAAATAAAATGATCTTGTTTTAAACCCCCACCGACGTAGCACCACAATCATTTTAGAAACCTTGCCCTTTATTCATTCGTGTATTCAAAATAAATCTATGCCATCGACAAGAAAAAAGAAGCCACTTATATTCATTGCAATTATTTCTCATCTCGTTTGAGGAAATACACGATGACGTACTTTGAATAAAAGATGATCGATCAGCAGTTAATGTAAGAAGCTTAAATAAATGTTCTCAGCCTTACAAGTCTCTGTAGCTTTTTTTCGTAATTGAAAGTGAAAATTCGGAAGCGGGCCAGCAAGTAGCATCAGAAGAACCAAACAAAGTTTGTAACCATGCCAAGTGCCGTAACTGACGTTCTAATAACGTGTGTGTTTTTATGAGCTATAATTAAAGCTAGAGCATTCAAGAAGCAAAGAGAAACACTCGACTTCCACTCGCGTTTACCCCTAAACTTTTTTCGTGCCCTAGCTGCTTCCTGGGTGATTTACAACAGTCACAGATTTACAACACAGTCAAGGCCTCTAAATCTGTTAACTGGAAAAGTGTTTGTCCCAGACGTTTGAGTGTTTGATACGTTGTCGATGGTGGATTGTTAATCGATATTCTATCGCGATGCTAAAACAGCAGTGGATTATACGACGAATAACGAATGGTGGTAACTGGGATTGTATCGTTCTTGGGTCGATTTGTGAGC